TAATTTTGGTAACTATAATGTGATTGTCTTCAATAGAAATGTAATAACGTATGCATTGGGGAGGATGATAGGTAAAACTCATCCCAGACAATCTGACACGAAATGAAAGCAGTATTTTAAATAGAAACCTGAGGTCTCCAGAAATGCATGAAAAATGAAGCTTGCCTCAGATTTCCAAATTATATGTGTTGAAATGTCCTTAAAAATGTCTGTTAAATCACCAGTACAAAATTTAGCTGAGCAAAGCTTTCTGTGTTTGTGTTCCATGGAAGCTCATGCTGTTCTGCTATGTAGTTATAGTCTATGCCTCCCTTGAGGGGCTCAGTTATTCAATCCAAATTATTTGTTATGTTTGTTTCTCCCCATTCTTTCCCAAGTATGTTCCTGAGTTCCTGTTACATTTCATACATTCAAGTTCTCATACTTCAAATTCCCACACTCCTAATAGAGTATCTGGCCTTTATGTACCAGTTATTTGGTTTAGTCAGTTTCTCTAAGCTTGCATGATTATTTTGGCTTCAGCAAAGTCAGGAAGAACAGCCTGTCATGCTGCAGTATGAAGGCTGAGCAGCAGTTTCAGAAAAGCTGAACAGGACTAAGTGGTGAAAGCAGGTCTTACCCAGTGTTTTACTAACTATTTAATTTAAATTCTGCATTCTCAGAATGTCACATTTTAATCTTTCAGAACTCATTAATGTCTCCAGGGATGCACTGTTTTACTTCTCCTTTTTCCCTCCAGTAACTCCTGAGGCCTGGAGAGTGATGATGTCTCTTAAATCTGGTCTTTTGGCTGAAAGTACCTGGGCGCTAGACACTATTAATATTCTTCTGTATGATGACAGTACTGTTGCTACTTTCAACCTCTCTCAGGTAGGTGGCAAAGCAGTTTGCTTCACAACTTTCCAAGGAAGGAAAACTGAAATAAGATACCTACAAAAATGCAGAAGTCCTTTAAAATTTATTATAATTAACATGAAATTGAGTATTTTGAAACTTCTCTTTTATGATTGGTGAGCAACAGTGAGCAACAAGAGATAGCTTTAGGTCAAATAGGGGAAATAATGAGCCTGAAAGAAGGGTATCTCTTGTAGAAAGGAACATGTAAGAATGTAGGAATTTTGGCACTGACATAAGACTAAATTCACTCTCATGATAGTACAAAGACAATCCTAGAAAACAGTAGTATGTTAGTAATCTTGTGTTTCCATAATAATCTTTGCAAAACTGTTTAAAATGGATTTGTAGTTGTCTTTTGGTGACTGCTTGTCTTATTCAGAAGTTCCATACTAGGCTGTGGGATTTTTTGAATTGCTTATTTTCTGTTTGGTTTCTTCTTCCAGTAAATTAATTTTGCCCAGAAATATCAGATGGGCAATATAAAGGCTAAAATCCATTGTCCGTCCACAGGATGCAAGTAACACAGGATTTAACAATGTGTGCTTTGCCTCACTACCTCCCAGCATTTTTCAGCCCTGCTTTAATCATTGGCCTGTTAGGTGGTAGTAATAGATGGCATGCAGATAGTGCACATCATCTAAAATTTGTACAAATTAAATATTCAGTTTCTCTGCTCCATTCATTCCTTGGTTACTAATAGTGTAACTCATCTTTTTTTAAATATAATGACCTTTTTTAAATACAGACACAAATGGTACATTTCATCCCGCCTAACTTTAGAACTAGGGATATCTATAGCATGATTCATCTCACCCTGAAGTAGAGATCTAAAATAGGTCAGATGAATCATACCCTAGAAATGGCCTGTAAAAGACCATTGATTATAAAGGGAATCTAGACAATTAGGTTAGGTGTCTAACTGTTGGAGGTGTTTGAAGTGAAGTGAGGTGAACCTCCTCTGAAACCTGTTAGAAACTGCATTAATGCACCCTGTGCAAGTTGCACAGAATACCAGGCATATTTTAAATACAGGGTTTTTGTTACTTTTACCTTGGGGTCTGTTTCCAGTGGCAGTCAGGACTCGGGATGATGACTGATAATTTCTGCAGTTCATAGGCATCAGTTTGTTCTTAATTCTTCGAGGGTTTGGCAGTCATAAGAGAATACAGGACAGAAAAAAGGATGCATTTTGCTGAAAACCTATTAGCCCACAATTTTAAACACCACCACCACAATAAAAGCCAGACATCAGGCTGAATACATCAGAACAGCAAAGAACTTTTAATAATAAAGCCACTGAGGGTAAATTAATACCAAGTCCAGTTGCTGGCTTTCCATAAGAAAGTGATTACAAATTAATTAAAAGGATTGAACCTAAATGAAGACTGTTTCTGAAGGGTGACTTAAAGCACCAGGCTCCAGTAACAATTTTTAAGTATTGCCAGGCAAAAATGGAACTGTTCCAATAGAGATAGGGTATTAATCTAGGACGTTGGTACCTAGACCCTGAACTGCAGATTCCTACACGACAGTTGGTTTTGGAGACTGAGACACAAAGGAGGAGAGGAAGAATTGTAAACTTCAGGCATCTAATAAAAGTACAAGTCAGAAAAACTATGTGAGTTAGAAAGTACTCTGTGCAGAACATGAAGGATGGCAGCCACTTCCAAGAGGACAGAACAGCTACGATAGATGCCTACTGTAGCTTAAAGGAGACATATGAATAAAATTCTGCACTTCTCATACCTGTAACAGTTCAAGCAAATGGAGCTATGATAGTTAGACACTACATACTGTTTGCACAGATGCTAGAAGAATTTTTCCTTTGATTAACTTCTGCCATGCAGGACCTACTCACAAGTCCACAGCACTAGGAGTCTGGAAACATTCACAGGTGTATGCATCAATGTTCCTAATAACATTTCTTTTATCTGATTTTTATGTTCTTTCTTCTCCCCTCAGTTGTCTGGATTTCTTGAGCTTTTAGTAGAATATTTTAGAAAATGCCTGATTGACATTTTTGGAATCCTTATGGAATATGAAGTGGGAGATCCGGGACACAAAGCACTTGATCACAAAGCAGCCAAGAAGGATGATAGCCAGTCCTTGGCAGAGGATACTGGGAAAGAGGAGAACGATGAATGTATTGACTATTTTGATGAAGATGAGGAGGAAGGGGAGGATGAAAAGGTAGAAGGGGAAGAAAAGAGCATTGTTTTTTCCACTCCTGGTGCCATTGCTGATCCAAGTGAGAGGCCAAAACAAGCCAGTAAATTTGACAAGCTGCCAATAAAGATTGTAAAGAAAAATAATCTATTTGTTGTTGACCGATCTGACAAACTTGGACGTGTTCAGGAATTTGATAGTGGACTTCTCCACTGGCAGCTTGGTGGTGGGGACACAACTGAGCATATCCAGACTCACTTTGAAAGCAAGATGGAGATTCCTCCACGCAGGAAAGCCCCTCCTCCCTTGAACTCTCCAAGCAAAAAGAAGGACCTAGAGGGGAAAGGTGAATCTGAAGAACAACAAGAAAAAAGTATAACAGCAACCATTGATGACGTCCTCTCAGCTCGGCCAGGAGCATTGCCTGAAGACTCAAACTCTGGTTCCCAAACAGAAAGCAGTAAATTTCCTTTTGGGATCCATCAAGCCAAAAGCCACCGGAATATTAAACTGCTAGAGGATGAGCCAAGGAGCCGGGATGAGACTCCTCTATGCACCATAACTCACTGGCAAGACTCCTTGGCCAAACGCTGCATCTGTGTGTCAAATATCGTCCGTAGCTTGTCTTTTGTGCCTGGCAATGACACTGAAATGTCCAAACATCCAGGCTTGGTGCTGATCCTGGGAAAGCTGATCCTTCTTCACCATGAGCATCCAGAAAGAAAGCGAGCGCCGCAGACTTATGAGAAAGAGGAAGAGGAGGACAAAGGGGTGGCCTGCAGCAAGGATGAGTGGTGGTGGGACTGCCTCGAGGTCTTGAGGGATAATACATTGGTCACATTAGCCAACATTTCTGGGCAGCTAGACTTGTCTGCTTACACAGAAAGCATCTGTTTGCCAATTTTGGATGGCTTGCTGCACTGGATGGTGTGCCCGTCTGCAGAGGCACAGGATCCTTTTCCAACTGTGGGGCCCAACTCAGTTCTTTCGCCTCAGAGACTTGTGCTGGAGACCCTGTGTAAGCTCAGTATCCAGGACAATAATGTGGACCTTATCTTGGCCACCCCCCCATTCAGTCGTCAGGAGAAACTCTACGCTACTTTAGTTAGGTACGTTGGGGACCGCAAAAACCCGGTCTGCCGAGAAATGTCCATGGCGCTCTTATCGAACCTTGCCCAGGGGGACACATTAGCAGCAAGGGCAATAGCTGTGCAGAAGGGAAGCATCGGAAACTTGATAAGCTTCCTGGAGGATGGGGTCACTATGGCCCAGTACCAGCAGAGCCAGCATAACCTCATGCACATGCAGCCTCCACCTCTGGAGCCACCTAGCGTAGACATGATGTGCAGGGCAGCCAAGGCTTTGCTGGCTATGGCTAGAGTGGACGAGAACCGCTCAGAGTTCCTTTTGCACGAGGGTCGTTTGCTGGATATCTCAATATCTGCTGTCCTGAACTCTCTGGTTGCATCTGTCATCTGTGATGTACTTTTTCAGATTGGGCAGTTATGACATAAGTGAGAAGCCAAGCATGTGTGAGTGGAGATTAGAGGGTCACATATAACTGGCTGTTTTCTGTTCTTGTTTATCCAACGTAGGAAGGAAAAAAAAAAATCTTTGCTCCTCTGCCCCATTCACTATTTACCAATTGGGAATTAAAGAAATTATTAATTTGAACAGTTATGAAATTAATATTTGCTGTCTATGTGTATAAGTACATCTTTTTATTTTTTTTAACCAAAGTTGCTGTCTAGTACATTCAAAGGTCACACTTTTTTTTCCATAGATTATCCTTTTCAATGTTCTTTTCCATGTTTGTATTGCATATTTTTTGGGAAGCGAACTAGTGACTTTTTAAAAAAAATGTTATGGCAAACCATTGTATGATGGAAAAAAAATCTCACCACTTTGAAACAAAAAGGTGAAAAATAACCAACATACCAAGTTCCTGTGTGTTTTATTTTTTCAAATAAGGAAAAAATAAAAAAAAACTTGTATACCATCACCCAAAGCTCTGTGCAATAGAAGATTCTAGTGATGTAGGTGTAGGGGATCAAGGAGGGTGTCAGTCAGTAGTCAGAATACAAAACAATACTGGTTTCTCCTCAGGAGAAATGGTTACATTAGGCTAGGAGCAAAACAAAACAAGAAAGTCAAGTTAAAAGATTTTTCAGCAAAACCTGATGATAAACATCAATTGCTTCCTCACCAGAACTGTCTTGTCTACATCTGTTTTTTTGACCTTCCACAATGACAGTTCTTCACAATTCCTTTAATCATTTTTTAAAATATTTTTTTATTGCCTAAGGGCCGTGATGTATATAGAAGTTGTACATTAAACATACCCTCATTTTTTTTTTTTTAGTACAGAGTTTTTAGTTTCTTTTTCATGATGTGGTATCTACAAAGTGATAGTAGAATTACTTTTTCTTTCATTTGGGCCATATCTCCAAAAAATAATTGAAAAAAAAAAAAGAAAAAAGAAAAAAACCCAACACAGAAAACCAACAACTGAGGGTAATGTACAAGTTTCTGTATGTATAAAGTCATGCTCTATTTCGGGAGAGCAGCCGATCACAATTTGCTTTATAAATCAAGGTGTGGAAATGGTTACGTATGGATTGATTTAAGAAAATGGTTACCAGTCTACAGACAAAAAAAAATATATACAGGAAAAAAAAAGAAGAAACACAACTTCAAAGATTTTTCAGTGACAAGAATCTGCATTTGTATTTCAAGATAATGTAGTTAAAAAAGAAAAAACTTGATGTAAATTCCTCCTTTTCCTCTGGCTTAATGAATTTCATTTATTCAGTATAAAATCTTTATATGTTCCACATGTTAAGAATAAATGTACATTAAATCTTGTTAAGCACTGTGATGGGTGTTCTTGAATAATGTTCTAGTTGCAGTGTGGGATATCGGAAAGCAAACTAATTACAAGAAAGAGCAATAATGATTATTCTCTTTCCCCTACTTTATTATTATAACCTTAAAAAAATATTACGCTATTGTATTGCAGCAACTTGCTCTCCTTTTAGAAAAGCCTTCTCACAGCACAGAGAAGTGTTTTTAATTCTTATTTATAAAACCACGGAGCCTCAAAGGGGAAGACATGGCTGGGAAATGATAGCTCTGACTATGCAGGTATCAAGTCTCCATGCTGTGTTTGGGGGACTGAAGACGGATGTTAGAAAAAGTGACAAAAGATTTTGTTAAAGCAATAACCAACTTGAAGAAATTGATCTGTATTCACTACCTGTAATTCTCTCTGTTGGTTAAAGGTGCAAATACCCCAGTGATGTGGGTATTTAGAATAAACACCCACCCACTTCTCGATACTGTATGTGTCATTGCATACTTACATGGCCTCTCATCCTCAGAGTCCCCCATTAAAGTGGATCAGGCTTTAATAGAGCACATCCATCGTTGTAATTGGTGGGAGATGGCCATTTCAGTTTTAGGAATTATCTGGTTTCAAATACAGCCACTCTCACCTGGTGATATCTTGTTGCTGAATATTGTTCAAGCACTAATTTTTTCTATTTCATCTTGGATCATTGACTTTGTTAGTGTGATCATAAAAAGCTAATAATAATCAATTTTCTTGGAATTGCCACATAATTACACTGTTAGTGGATATCCTCCTCCCCTCTCCAGTAACAATACAGAGGTACTTGAAAATTACAACCCCCTTTGGCATACTGCCCATTTTGTTCATATAGATTGCTGTAACATTAATATATGTAAGAGGATTTCAGAGACAGGTAGAGCACATACAATTATAAGCCAAGTTTGAAACGTGACTCCCTAGTGCCATGAAAAGTAATTTCTCCTTTTAGCTTTCCTTATTCGGTAGTTTCTCCACTCCCACATCACCTGCTGCAGCGGGCTGTCTTTCTCTGGCATATCGCTGCGTTCAGAAACACATGGTGAATTATAACCCACTTGTAACTTCTCATCACAGAAGGAGACATATTTCGGGGATGATTTTGACAGCTTAATACTGGGCAGTGTGGAAGTAGCATCCCCTGCTAAACTTATTTCTTACTAACTTTACTGCTTGATATTATGCATGGATACAATCAAGCTGTTAAATAAACCCTCTGCTGAGCGATGCCCTTTTCTTGTCAAGGACAGAAAAGGACGTCTATTCTCTTCTCAGCATTCAGACCCAGAGTCCTCTGGGGAAACTACACCGGTGACAAAGCACTCTGAGCTGTCAGAGGCAACGCTTTAATGTTATTCAGGACTGCTCTGAGCCTGGTCAAACAACATGGTGAAGGGAAAAAACCCACCCCACTAGCCAGCCAGCCACATCATGTCCATTATGTGTGTACCATTGCTGCCACTTTTCCAGCTGGACCAAGAACTAGCTGGGGAACTGGAGGAGTAGAAGGGAAAGGTTAATAATACAGAATCTGCCTGAGCGTGATTTTATGCTGTTACAGTAGGGGTAAATGATCTAAATCGCTGGATGATATTGCAGCACATTTATCAGAAGAAAGGTGAAGCATAAGAACACCAGTTCCCTCTGTTGTCTATGTATGATTTCACTTCTCCCACAATATTCTCTTAAACCTTTGGAGAAGATCTGCTTATGAGGTTTGTGAACTTGACATGTTCTGACTGAATCCTGAACGAGCTTGAGCTGCTGTTGGCATTGTTCCTACAAGAAGTATTTTGGTTTTCAAATGTAAAACAAAAAATTTACATTTTGTTGCTGATGTGATCACAAGATACTCTGTACTGAAGCTCAAGCTAATACCAACAGAAAGGTGCAATGTTTGAAACTCTAAAACTGCAATGAGTTATTTAGGGGAAAGCAGCCAGTGTGTACTTCAGACAATAATCAAACACAAATATTTGACTAATATACATATATATCAATAACCTGCTGTTTGTCTGGCAGGCCCAAGCAACTAATTGCTTATAGACTGAAAGAGCAGCAATGAGCTACACAGAATCCCTGAATCTTACTGACTTTTAGAATTACTACAGGAATTAAAAGATGCCTATCCCCTCTGGCAGAAAAAAAAGTGATTTTTTTTTCTTGTTAACATAATTTCTTACACTATCCCTTCAAAAAAAAAACCCAACCAAACAATACAGCAGGCACATTTTCACCCAAAAGGAAGGATGCAGAAGAAAAATATATGCACATGCTTAAAGGCTTCTGCAGTTTCATCATCCTTTACTGTTTTACACCACGATCAGTGAACTCTGTGCCCTACATCACTACTGTGAAACTGTTACCTTTTGGGGCCTGGATACAGCCAGAATAAAAATGTATTTAGAGGAATATTGTTGCAAAAGCATATGCTTGTGTTCCATATTAATGATTCCTATACAGCACTTTCACAGTACAATGAAGATTATACTCCTTATTTTACAAAAAATGTGAAAACACCTCTCAGTAAAAAAGAATCGAGTGTAGCTGTCATTTATGACAGAAACAGTTCCATCCAAAAAGATCCAGCCATTGCAGGGGGTAGGTTTATTTCAGCAAGTGTTTTAACCCATGTTGTTGTGCTTCACTCTCCTGCTGAAGCTTCTGTTCAATATTACTTAGTAGCAAAGAAAAAAAAAATAAATCACTATCATCTCCTCAGTTATCCCCTGTACAAGAGGAAGAATTGTAAGCAACCATAGGTGCAGATGCCCAACCTAACTTGAAACTGAACTGGAATATGAGAACTGAGCTGAGGTGGCACATAGCCAGTTCACCCTCTCAAGAAGCTGTGTGTAGGTTCCTTACTCTGCAAATAGTAGTACTGGCGCATCTAAAAAATAATACATATGTATTGCCCAAACACTGTAACAACACTGTCACAGAGGTCCATCCCTTCTGTGTTGAATTTTGAGATGAGTTGTTCAGAGAGGGATGACAACTACTAGTTTTATCTTCATTGACCTGGTAACATCAAATATATGGAAACCACACTGGCACACAAACCACAAAGCAGTCTCTGCTGCAAAAAGCTTCCTTTCCAAGTCATGAAGATGTAACTGCAGGTGGAGATAGACAGGAGAAAATAGAAACAAAAGCAAAAGTAAACTGAAAAAGCAGGTGCCACTCTTGCAGAAGAGTAGAATTGCAAAGACTTAGGCCATGGCCCCACACCCCCTGCAAATTTAATTTTCCTCAGGATAATTTGTGAAATTTCTGGGGCTCCCCCCTTCTGTTTTCTCATTACGAAATTTTACACTTCCCATGCCCAATTCATTTCCTTCCATCACTCACAAAGATTTTTTTTTTTTTTTTTTGTTAAGGATTACAGAGTCTGAAAGGAGAGAGCAAAGTACTGAGGGAGGAAAGGGAGAAAAGACATGGCCAGCTGGAGAGAGGCAGAACGTGAAAACAGAGCTGAAAGAAAAACATCCTATGTCCCTGCTGCATTGCTCTATTTTTACATTTGGGCTGTTACAGAGAAATTAATAATTAAACCAAGCAGGGGAATTTGGCATGTCATTGGTGGTTGGTATAAAGAAAAAGGAAGTAAAAAGATTTTAAGAGGCAGGAGGAGTAAGGGAAGGGAAGGCAAAGATGAGCCTAAACATGCAGACTGGTAAATGCAATTTTCAGTTAATTTCATTTACCTTTCAAATCCCCAAGATGGCAGGAATAGGGAAGGATTAATATTGTCTTTACTGTTAAATTCACCACAGTTGTTCATTTGTGCACTGTCAGAAATGGACTGTGGAAGTCTGGCCTTCCTTTCTGTGTTTGTCAGTAGTTGTGGGTACAGGAGACAGCTGTTCTGGGCTGCATACCAAATCCAGCTATTCATGCCTAAATGACTTCATTTGTGCTTCCAATTACTTATTCTAACAATTTCATTTCAATGCTCTTGTACAGTGTAAAAAAACATAGGTTTACACTTCACATTTGTTTTAACTGGCCTGAACTAGTGAGATGGAGGAGCAAGATCCTTATCCAACACCTTCAACAGAGCTATATCATCTTATCCTGCATTTGTTAATTTACTTGGTCTGTCATTACTTAGTATATATTGCATTTCCATTAATTAAGGATAGTTATTTACATTGAAAGGGTGATGGGGTGAAATTGCCTAGCAGAGTAAATCCCTAATGACAGGTATCTCTGCAATGTTTATTCAGGTCAGCAAAGAGACTCCTGAAGGACAAACATTCTGTATTTTCCTCCTCTATGGACTGTTTTAAAATGGCAACTCTATATATTATCATACGGGGGGGGGGGGGGAAGAGTATTATTGAACATGAAAAACTGTTGAAACACATGCTCAGAGTGTATATGTATACATATGCAGCTGAGAGGAACGAAAAAAAAAATCTCTAGTACATGTTTTACTGTCAAATTATAACACAATTGCAAAATCAACTATTAAACCTCTTTTCCTCTAAGAGAGTTTGAAAAGAAACAATGCGCCGCTGGTTGCACTGCCACCACTGAAGCTTACAATGGACTCCTTTTAGAAGATTTTTATATATTATAGATATATGAAGGATGAAGCTCCATACAGAATGAATCACAGCAACTGAGAGATACTGATGTTTAAGCACAAGACCTCATCAGCGGTACTAGCTCTATACATTTTATATGCAGTTAGGGAAGACAGACTTAAGTTACATGTTACCAATATCCTGTACCCACCTAAAACATGTATTTCCCTATATTTCCATTTTAAATAGTCATGAATCTTTTCCCTGCCATGGGTCATTAAAGGGTAGTGTAGGAGAAGTTGTTCTTTTCATTTGTTCTATTTTTTTCTCTCCCAGTATTTACTCTCTAAGCCTCTCATGTTGCTTCCTTCCTTTCCCCTAAGCATTAGTACCAAATAGAGAGTCCTGTTTTTCTGAATAATTGAATAGCCTGGGTTTTGTCTATTATTGACACCTTTAGTATCTAAAGGGGATTTCTCCACTGTGCTGAATAGTATCACCAGTTCTTGAGACAGCAGCATCTCCTGAACATTCTTACCCCGCAGGGAAAAGTTCCTACAACGGACTCCCAGTCTTAACAGTGGAGGTGGCCGAGATGTGTCAAGCAGAGGTAAAGAAAAGAAAAAGACTTTGAGTTACACATTTGACATTTCTACACCTCTTCAAAAGACGGGTATTTTACTTACGGTAAGCATAAATAACCAAGCTTTCCAGTCAGCAACTACAGCTTCCTCAGCTTTTCTATTATGAAGGGTCTTTTGGGTAAAGGAAGTTTTCTTTAAATAGCAAAAAACTGCTTGTTTGAAAGCACTTAGATGAATGACCACTGTACCCTGTGAAAATAGCATTATGACCTCCATAATGTCAGCTCTGCCACAACTCACTCTATCCCAGGCTCCTCAGCATACTTATCAGCCTAGCATTAGCATATGCCAACCTTCCACAACATGCATATCTGATCTAGGAAAGGCAACTCAAAGAACCAAAACACTGACTACTGAACAATCAGATGAGATATAGTTTGTTGCTTATGTATGCCATAAGGAAGAAAATATACCAATCTATAATGTGTAAGTACAGATTGTATCCATTAAACACTTTCTTTTAAACAGGACACTTTTAAGTTAATATCATTAGTTTATTTTATCTTCAGCTGCAGCTGTGACCTTACCTGAAGAGGTCACCATTGCTGGCCTGTGCCTCCTAGAAGTTACCACATCCCTGCAAACACAGCAGCACTGCTGGTAGTGGTACTGTTTCTCATCAAGTCCAGGCAAAGCAGGTTAAGCACCTGATGCACTCAGGTGTTCAGTTTGCTTCATTTTCCAGCCAGAAGAGTTTGGCAGCTGCTGTGACCATACACTCACAGTTATTCACCCATTACACTACAAACAACAATTTATTTGGCTGCCAACTCTCCAGGAGCCAGCTGATTTACCTCTCGGAGCATCCCAAAATGCAGTTTAAGAGAGCACTGACATGGACAAGGAATCCAGCCTGACTGCACAAAGCGCAGCACAGAATCTTGCCCCAGGTACTGGCAGATGTGGTACTGGAACAATAAACACAGGCTGAAAAGGCACCACAAAATATCCTTATAAATCAGCAAGGAGATTGGACAACTGCTATTAAATTCCTCTAAAAGCCAGTCTGATCTGTACTCTGTTTGCTTAGGTTTAAATGTCTGGATCTGCTGTTCGCAAAGTTACGCATTCTACTACAAGAGCTGAAGACAGGCTTCTCATTACCACTGTGTCTTGAGCAGCAACTGACTGATCCTTCACAAATGTACCCCAGCACCTGAAAGCCATGTGTGTAGCTTTGGGCAGCAGTGCCATCACTAAGTAGGCTCCAAAGTAAACCGATAATCTTATAATGTGTGTGAATTTGACATTTCCTCTCCATCAGCAGCACTTTTTTGCTTTGGCACTGAAAGTGGTGAAGTGAAAAGGCTTGAAGAGGGGTTGCCCCAGTTTTAAATTTTTAATTATTTAGCAGTCAGTGAGGAGTGATAAGAATACATAGAAAGAAGCCCCCACAGGTACTCCTGGTTGGACAGGACGACCTCATTCTCTACGGGTGTGTCCCAAACGCTCCTTTAGGCCCCGCTCCAGCCCCTCCTCCTGCACCATGCCTGCCTCTCCACATCCCGCCAGCTTCCACCTCCTCCACACTCACCCTGTCCGGCAAGAAGCCTCTCCCAGCCCCCCTGCTCTGACTGAGCCACCCCAGCCCCGATCAGCCCCGCCCCGCGACCGCCCTCGTGCCGCGGCCGTTGGAGCCCCCCGCCTTCCAGAACGTTCTCGCCCCTCGGCAGGTCACTGTGGTGGAACCCGGAGGGGCCGAGCCGCAGTCCCACACGAAGCGCCCCACTCCGCACGCATGGCAGTGCTTTACTAAGGACGCCTTTTAGGGAGCCCCAGTTCCCCCCAGCCTAGCCTTTCAGCTGCAAACATATCAATTACCACAAGCCCAAATTTATTGTTTGAACTGGTACTTAGCTTTAATGCTTTTTCAGTGCTTGTCATTTTAAATCAATTCATAAAACTCTTTACACGTGCTATTTAAATTAACTTTAATCCAAAGCCTTATCAGAATCAATATTTAGCAGGATTCTGCAATCTTCTGAAGCCTATTTACATAGGGAAAGCAGTGGGTGTGCTGCTGCAGGTGAACCAGGGGCAGCTATCCTGAGGTGGGCAACATGCTGCTGAGGAGCTCCCATGGGTGCACCACCGAACTTCCTAATCCACAGTACCATGCGACCTTTATCTGCCTTTTTAATCAGATGCCAAAAGTCGAATACCGTTGGTGATTTCCTGAAAGGTCAGTCTTACTTTTATCTTTCCCCCTACTGAAAACAGAATGAAGTTAAGGTGACAATGTTTTGTGCAATCAAAACGGGGAGGTGGGTTTAAAAGCCTATGTATATATTTGAATAAATGTTTCTCTTTCACTAGCATGTGTTTATGTGAGTGCTCTATTTATGGCCAAAGCTGTTGCTATCAGTCTTTGGTAACCCAGCAATTAATATACTATATCGAATTTATGCATGTACAAGATCAGCTGTCTTAATTGAAAAAAAAAAATTAGGTCATATTGAAAGAAATACGAGTAGTAGTCATTCACTAAAAGAATCACTTCATCATCCTTAAACTATTAAAAATGGCAATCTTCACCTCATGTTTGTAAGTATCTGGTAATACGTAATTTTTAAGACCCTTCAGTGGTGTGATGATATGTTACAGATACACTCCTTCATGTTAATGGAATAGGAAGCTGAGAAAAGTATCTCCTGCTCCAAAAATCTTTGCCTGATAAAGTAACTGATAACATTTATTATATGACACTCAAGATCAAACAATAATTTTGCCATAGTGAATTATGAAGAATGGAAGCAGAGCAATCACCTTGAGTGTACATTTTCATTTTCTCATTAGTTTGCAGGCAGTGGTGTTTACTAGTGTTAGTATCAACATTATCCACTGTAGAGAAGTCAAATTTAAAAATCCATTATATAGTACTGTGTCTTTACAGTTTTTGAACAATCTTTTTTTGCACTTTCAGTTGCAATTAGACCCACTGCGCCTTTACCTTCATAGTAACAAGTTGTTGCAGTGTTTTTTGATATGACTAGATGAAAAAAGCAGACTGGCTGACTTCTATGTGAACTTCATCTTCAACAGCTTAATTTGAGAGATCACAAACTGTCATGGCTCTGTCTTCACACCTCACACTAAAGTTCTGCTTAGATGTTCCATTCCAGCCACAAGGCTTTGTAGTGACTGGCCTGCGTCATAATGCTCTTTGCCAGGCATTAAAAGGTTTGGAGCACTCTGAGCCTTTCCCTAACTCTTCTTTTCTCTAACCTGAAGAGTTGGCAAGAATTTAAAAGACTAAATGCTGGTCTTTGGCTTGGCAGCTACCAGTAACTCTTACAACACTACCTGCGTTGTTAAATGTGTTAATTTAAACCATCCTTGCAGGTGGCATCGCCACTGAAGCTGTGGGTTCTTTGGACTTTGAATTGGGTAACACATCCTTCACATTAAGAGAACTTCCTTATTTCATCAATTCATCATGAAGTAAAAGAAGGCTGAATCAAACTTACGCAGAGCAACAGTAAGCAAAAATAAGTACATTGAGTTCTCAGTACAGAATTTTCAATAACTGAGAGTATTATAATTTGAAGTGGGAGTTCTATGATTCTAAGTTTCCCGTATTTCCCATATTTCAGAGAGTATTTTCAATTTTTGAAGCAAGCCTTGTATAAAGGTAGGAAGTCGTTTTGTTAAGACAGATGACAAGGGCATTTGTAATTTTGAAACACTGATAAATAAGAGTACAATGTTTCAGTGCTGAATAATAATAAGTAACTTCTTTATAACAATACTAACTGATATTTAATATAAAGCAGATATAAAATTAATCAGAATAATAGTTTACATCATTTTGTCAAAACTAAAGATTTCAAAGGTATTAAACATGGCCAAAACAAGAAATTCAGCTAGTTTGTTCAGAATGTTTTCCCTAATAAAAAAAAAATTTGAAAGCAGTAATTTTTTGCAAAACTTAAGTGCAGTGAAAGTTCAGTCCCCAACTGAAAAAACACACATTTTCGTCCAGAAAAAAAAGTGTGTTGGCTAGCTCTCAGCAGGGATAGGAATAAAAGAAAGAAATAAAGGACAGCATGCTGGAGAAGCTTACCAAAAACCCTGCTATTGGTGCTCCCTAAACAGTGATAAATGTTACTTCAAGCAAAGAAAAGGCAAGTTAACATTATAGTGCTCTCAATAGAACTAAGCACGTTATTGCCAAGGCATCTTCGTTTTTCTACAGGTTTCTCGTCAGCTGTATGAATTGTATAAGTCATGTTAGCATAGCAGCAGGTAACCAGCCATACCTTTGCTTCACCTGCTTACAGCCTTAGAGAATTCAGAGCTTTACAGTTCCTTGCTGGCAAAGGCTCTTTGTCTTATTGGCACATTAACTCAGCTTTGGCCTGCCACATATTTTAGTCTAACTGACAACATTCAGATTGCCATAAAATCAGTCAATAGCCTCTGATTCTACTAAAGTTGTGCTAAAACATACAACATGCTATTGCAAAGCTTCTGATCTGCCACTGCCTTTTAGTTAGGCTGCAGAAACTCACCTTCACAGGCAAAGGTTGCATAGAAACTTGTGTACATCCATTTCCTACACTGGCCTGGAAGCTCCTGCAAGGCAGCTACCTACTGTTTTGCTCTGAGGCTGTAACATATGGGAAAGATGCCTGGCTGCTCTCCAGAGCCTAGGCACCTGCAGCAGGTGAATCACATTGTAGTGAACCAGCACAGTCTCAATCAGCATCAGCTGTTCCATTAACAGAAAGAAATTATCCCAGAGGACTTGCAGCTCCTGGGTAGAATCTCTGGCTGCACAGGAGATTGTGGAAAACTAGTGGACTGAGAGGAAATATATACAAGCTTTTCCTGCACTGCTTCTGAAAGGACCTGTCCTACAAAGCTGTAGAGGATGAAAAGAGAGGGCTTTTTTTTTTTTTTCCTTTAAATTTGTTGCAGGTTTTTTGAAAGGTTAGTCTGTTTAATTTGAATGAAATTTCTCTCATAGTCAGTTTGTGCTGCCAAAGAAACAAATGATTTGGAGGTACAGAATGGGGCCTGGTAAATGGTGAAGAACAAAGTAATATTGTGATAGGTTGTTGCAGACTTAAAAGGCACCTGAGGACAGCATGAAGCATATAATGAAGTCATATAACTGTAAGTAGAATTCAAGCATATCTTTAAGCATATGATGAAATTTAAAAGACTTCCTGAGTATTTGTATTACATGGAAACTTAAGCAGAAAAAAAATTCATAGCATTTTTATACCATCCTTCTGCCTACAGGTAACGTCTATGGCCAGGAGACACTGGCTTTCGAAGGTATTTGCTGAACACAGTTTCAAATGATGCGACATAATGAAACAGCAAGTTATGTTGGTAAGGGTTTTTTTTATGTTTGTTTTTTTTTTTTCAATCTTTCTAGGACTTTTGCAGACTTTTTAGAGTACCTATGTTAAAAGTGTAGAAAGTAGCACTCTCAGTGTAGATTGTATGCTTCTAGTTTCTTCTTATTTTTCATTGAAATTCAAACAAACACAGCCTTCATTTGATAAGATACTTACCATACAAAATAATACTAAAATGAGAGAGGGAAAATCCTTTGAACCACAGCAGAGAGGTAAGATCTTGACATTATTTTTGTCTTTGGTTTAAAAAGAAAAAAAAATCTCTTTAAAAAGAGAAGGGAATTTCAAAGGAAAACATTTCAGTCCAGCAGGCTTTATATTTTTTCAACAGCATAAAAATTAAGTTTTCAAAGTCTTTTTTGTTCTCATCTGAGTAATGCATTACATTTGTTTAAATAACTAAATGTATAAATAATAAACATTTTGTAAATCTTCACGTGAAATAGTGATATTGAAGGAAAGCCTTTGAAGTGTGGATAGCTCCCTCTCATGGCCTCCTCCCCTCAATCTTCTTCAGATCTTGCAGAATGCTTTGCTGGGTCCCCAGAGGTACCTTTTGTTCCATTGAAGATTCTAGTTAAAGAAAGATGTTCAAATATTTTAACTGAGTTTTTGGGGTAGCATTAAGTTAAAACTGTACATCTTTCAATTTCCAGGACTTTCACTGCTCTGTTACTTAAGCTTCAAAGTTCAGTTCACTGAAGAACTGTTCATAATTTATAGCTCAACTGAGGATCTCTTTCCCTTATTTGCGTTTTAGTTCTCAGGCAAGTGGAAAAGGCAGATGTTATGAGCATAGTGTACATGTAAATATTGTTTGTGAAAAACATGCTGAGGCAAGGTATTCAGGCCTGACTGTTATGTTAGTGGGCTTCTGCTCTGCAAAGCTCACCTGGAGACGTCTGAAAGGTACTTGACACATTTGGAAGGCCAGCCACTTTAAAACATTATGTGTCTAGAAAGCTTTATGAAAATCCTGACTTCTTGGGGATATATTTATCCACAGAGCAGGGTCTCATCATAAAAGTTTCTGTGTTTCATAGAACAGTTAGGGTTGGAAAGGACCTTAAGATCATCTAGTTCCAGCCCCCTGCCATGGGCAGGGACACCTCACACTAAACCATATCACCCAAGGCCTCGTCAAACCTGGTCTTGAACCAGGTCTTGAATGTTTACCAATAAGCATACTTTGGTCACAATAGTGAAGAGTCAGTCTGTGGGTTAAAAGTGAATTCATGTGTCTTTATTTTTTCCTAAGTTTTCTGAAACTATTGGCATCTTGAGAAAATGGGACTGGGGCATGGAGGAGGAGGGAGGTTATGAGATGCAAGCTCCTGTTGTTCAGGAACTAGGTTCCAATCATAAAGTTCTTGATTCTTGGGAGTAGGGCAGATGCCTGCACAGAACCCCATTTACATTAATGGGATTCTTTACTGGTCAATGAACCTGCCTTCATACATCAGTATCACAGGATCAGAGCCTGAAATTTCTCCTGGAGAAAATAACTGAGTTGCTCTGTAATGCTAATGCTTTCTAGTCACTGCTTTCTAAGCCTAACATGATCAAACTAGTGGAAAAAGATACTCTGGGCTATTAAACCTTATCTACCCAGTCCCAATGACCTGTGCTTTCTGGCACTCATGCAAATACCAGCAAGCTGAGCTTTAATTATTTCTAATCCAATAAATAATAAAAAGAACAAGATTTTTTTGTTTGCTTAAAAGTGTCAATTTAGGAAGGCTTTTAAAGATAGTGTTTATAGGAAAGCACAAATGCATAGCATGTTAGCGTTACTGATTAGTTTAAAACATTGAATACAATAATCCATTATTTTAATTAGTTTTCTAAATTGCTGGCAAAAATAACAGAGAGATGCTGTCTGCAGTGAGGTAAATGCTTCCTTGTAATCGTTTTGGATTTTGCTCTAACCTTTAATGAATTTATTCTTGTAATGGCAAGAACATTATTTTTATTCCCACACTTAGGTTAGGGAAGCTCACACGAAAGAGCAAGGCATCTGGGAACTCAGCAGAGTTTTGCTTTGACAAATGACCTCATTTACCACCTTGACAAACACTGACTGTACTGACCAATGTTGCATACAGCTCTGATTTAAGCCATCACTACACAGAAATTGCCAGTTGCCGCCCGTTTCCTATGGCTCTGCTGGGGAGCTGTTTGTGTGAGCTCTGCCTTGCACAATAAAATGAGCCCAGAAAACTCATGCTGCATGTTTCAGTGGGTTACACTAGCTTGGCTGATTCTGTCTGAATCAAGCTGTCATACAAACTGCTGCAGGAGCAGAAGAATGTCAGTGGTCCTTCCAGATGAGGCAGTTGACATATATTGCCAGCCCTAAGGATTGTGGTGCATCATGAGACAGAAATTCACTCCCACCTATTTGTTCTAACCTTCTCCTCCCTTCCCTGCTAACATTTAAATACCATTCACACTTCCTGCTTTCCTGAGATAGAAGTCCTCAGAACTGGAGGCTGTGTACTCCTTTTGCAAAGCAGTAATGGTTTTGCCCACTCCTCTTTATTTCCAGTGAATGTACTCATTGTGAAGGTGACACTGTTAAATACTGTCCTAATGATTCTTTTAAGCATTTACTAGTGGTTGCCAAAGTTAGCTCAGATAGTCTTTTCATCAATTCTCCAGGATACAGAGGAGGACCTAGAAAAAGCTAGGAGGATTAGCCAGGTTAATAAATGGTTAAGATGGTGGTGTCATAGTCAGGGGTTTGGGTGTCTTGAGCACGGGACCCAAGTTAGTAGGCCAGGTCTACTGGGTGCTGGTTTTGGTAGGCTGACTGGTCAAGGAGGCTTTAAACTAGATGTGTTGGGGGAGAGGGGTATCATTCCATCCGAACACAACCAGTCAGTTGCCAGAACCCATAAGAAATGCTGGGAGCAATATAGACATATCCCAGCCGCTCCAGCCAGTGAGCCAGCTTCATTTGGAGCTCGGCTCAGATGCCTCTATACAAATGCCCATAGCATGGGGAACAAACAAGAGGAATTAGAGATGTGTGCACATCTATGGGGGTATGATATAATAGGCATCGCAGAAACATGGTGGGATGGCTTCTATGACTGGAGTGTTGGAATGGAAGGTTACAGGCTCTTTAGAAAAAGACAGGCCTGGCAGGCAGGGAGGGGGAGTTACCCTTTCTGTTAGGGATAGGCTGGAGAGTATGGAACTGTGTCTGGGGACAGGTGAGCAGTCCACAGAGAGTTTGTGGGTCAGGGTTAAAGGGAATATAGCTATGGGAGACATTACTGTGGGGATCTGTTACAGACCGCCTGATCAAGGAGAACCTGCGGATGAAGCACTCCATAGAGTGATAGGAAGAGCCTCATGCTCACAGGCCCTTGTTCTCATGGGTGACTTCAACCACCCTGACATCTGTTGGAAGGACGGTATAGCCCGGCACAAGCAATCCAGGAGGTTCCTCGATTGTGTGGAAGACAACTTCCTTCTGCAAGTAATAGAGGAGCTGACAAGGAGAGGTGCCATGCTTGACCTCGTGCTCACCAACAAGGAAGGGCTTGTTGGGAATGTGGTGCTCCAGGGCAGCCTTGGTTATAGTGATCACGAGATGCTCGAATTTGAGATCCTCAGGACAGTGAGAAGAGCATGCAGCAAGCTCACTGCCCTGGACTTCAAAAGAGCAGACTTTGGCCTCTTCAGGAACCTGCTTAGGAAGGTTCCATGGGATACAGCCCTAGAGGGCAGGGGGGCCCAAGACTCTTGGTTGATATTCAAGGATCACCTGCTACAAGCTCAGGAGGGTTGCATCCCAACCAGAAGGAAGTGCAGCAGGAGGGCCAGGAGACCTGCTTGGATGGATAAGGAGCTCCTGAGGAAAATTCAAATGAAACAAGAGGTTTATAAAATGTGGAAGCAAGGACAGGTGGCCTGGGAAGAGTACAAGGATGTTGTCAGGGAAGCTAGGAACCAGGTTAGGAAAGCTAAGGCCCAGTTAGAATTAAACTTGGCTAGGGATGTGAAAGATAACAGAAAGGGACTCTATAGGTACATTGCAAATAAAAGACAGACTAGGGACAATGTGGGCTCTCTCCAGGATCTATCAGGAGAGCTGCCTACCCTGGATTTGGAGAAGGCTGAAGTTCTGAATGACTTTGTTTCCTCAGTCTTCCCTGACAAAGGCTCTGACCACACCATCCAAGTCTTGGAAGGCAGACACAGGGACTGTGAGAATGAAGACCTTGGGCCCACTGTAGGAGAGGATCTGATTTGAGACCATCTTAAAAATCTGAACATGCACAAGTCCATGGGTCCTGATGAGATCCATCCACAGGTCCTGAAGGAGCTGGTGAATGGAGTTGCTAAGCCACTGGCCATCATATTTGAGAAATCATGGCAGTCAGGTGAAGTTCCTGACAGCTGGAAAAAGGGAAATATAACTCCCACTTTCAAGAAGGGGAAAATGGATGACCTGGGGAATTACAGACCAGGCAGTCTCACCTCTGTGCCTGGCAAAATCCTGGAGGAGTTTCTCCTGGAAGGCAAGCTAAGGCACATGAAAAACAACAAGGTGCTTGGTGACAGCCAGTATGGCTTCACTAAGGGGAAATCCTGCCTGACCAATTTGGTGGCCTTCTATGATGGGGCTACAGAACTGATGGACAGGGGTAGAGCAGTTGATGTCATCTACCTGGACTTGTGTAAAGCCTTCGACACTGTCCCACACAACATCCTTGACTCTAAATTGGAGCAACATCAATTTGATGGATGGACCACTCGGTGGATAAAGAACTGGCTGGATGGCTGCACACAGAGAGTTGTGGTCAATGGCTCAGTGTCCAGCTGGAGACCAGTAACGTGTGGTGTCCCTCAGGGATCGGTGTTGGGACCGGTCTTGTTCAACATCTTCGTCGCTGACATGGACAGTGGGATTGGGTGCGCCCTCAGCAAGCTGTATGGTTCGGTTGATACCCTGGAGGGAAGGAATGCCATCCAGAGGGACCTTAACACACTTGTGAGGTGGGCTGATGCCAACCTCATGAAGTTTAACCATGACAAGTGCAAGGTCCTACACCTGGGTTGGAGCAATCCCAGGCACAGCTACAGGTTGAGCAAAGAAGAGATTCAGAGCAGCCCTGCAGAGAAGGACTTGGGGGTGCTGGTTGATGAGAAAATGAATATGAGCGGGCAGTGTGCGCTTGCAGTCCAGAAAGCCAACCGTATCCTGGACTGCATCAAAAGGAACATGACCAGCAGGTAGAAGGAGGTGATCCTGCCCCTTTACTCTACTCCAGGTGAGGTCTCACAAGAGCATTGTGTGCAGTTCTGGTGTCCTCAACATAAAAAGGACCTGGAACTGTTGGAACAAGTCCAGAGAAGGCCACGAGGATGATCAGGGCCTGGAGCACCTCCTGTATGAAGACAGGCTGAGGAAGTTGGGGCTGTTCAGCCTGGAGAAGAGAAGGCTGAGTGGAGACCTCATAGCAGCCTTGCAGTATCTGAAGGGGGCCTATAGGGCTGCTGGGGAGGAACTCTTAGTTAGAGACTGTAGTGAAAGGACAAGGGGTAATGGGTTAATACTTAAACCAGGGAAGTTTAGATTGGATATAAGGAGGAAATTCTTTCCTGTTAGGGTGCTGAGGAACTGGAATGGGTTGCCCAGGGAGGTTGTGAATGCTCCATCCCTGGCAGTGTTCAAGACCAGGTTGGATGAGGCCGTGGGTGATATGGTTTAGGGTGAGGTGTCTCTGCCCATGGCAGGGGGTTGGAACTTGATGATCTTAAGGTCCTTTCCAACCCTAACTGTTCTATGATTCTACAAAGTTACACCTCCTGAGAGTGCAGTGTAACATTAGGTTACATCATGCCTTCCCACAGACTGTGTGTTCATATACTGCATAACCTCCAGCCATATTTCATCAGAAGGGTAGGCAGGATTTTTCTGAAGGAGACACAGGTGTCCAGGTAACTTGGAGATGAAGGAGGCCTTGGTGAGAGAAGTTTCCCCATCACCTGTGGGAGGACAAAGATGAATCATGAAAGGGGCACTGAGTGACCTGAAGTGGGAAGTGTAAGCAGCAGTGAGTGTTACTAGTATTCTGATCTGAGAAGAGCAGGTGTGTGTTTTCGGACTTCGAACATCTTCAGTACACCATCACATCACATGCATTTATGGAACACTGTACACTGCTCACACTTTCTCTGAATATCAGTCCTTTGATCACCAAGCAGGCTTACCCAGCACAGGAGGTAACAAAAGAGAGATTCTGGTAGTATGTGAGCTTGTGCTCTCCAGCAGCCGTACACCTCTTCCCTTCCTGGTCTTGTGACTGGACACCAATGTATCACCCTTACACACCACAGTGCCTTCGCACGTGTCTTGAAAGGTGTGAAAAAGGAGGCAGAACACGTGGAAGTGAGTGACAGAAGGAGGTCAGTCCCTGAGACTCCCTTTTTGTAAAAATACGGGCTTCATTTTGAAGGGAGTTCTTTGCTCTGACAATAAGCAAACTCTGAAATAGGTTTGTGCTACACAGAATGATAGTGTAACTAACATTGGTCTTAATGCAAATTCACTGAAGTGTTTGCTAAGTTACCCAGTGGCTGCTTTGCGACAAAGCTAATGGTGCAGGGAAAAATCTTTTGATATTCGTTTGTGCATTCACATAAGCACCAAATGAAAGCCAGAAGTTTAAATACAGTGTTGTAATTTTAAGGTTTCTTTTCTTTTATTTTTTTTTTTTTAATCTTATCAAAAATTATTGGTTTTCATTAGTAAGTGGTTTTTGTATTGAAGAAAACGTTGGTTTGGATATAAGTACAGATTTCAAAGAGGCCTCTGAGATTCGGGGTCAGTGGTGCAAGAGAGAGAGAGGAGTCTTCGGGGAAGGGGAGAGTAGTCATATGATACTGGGGAAGGGACACAGCTATTATGGCTGGGGAGAAATAGGCAGAAAAATGTGTGCATGAGAAAGAAATCTGATTAATATTGGTCCTGTTGGTATTGCCATCTCTGGAGTGTAAGAAATTGTCTCTAGATGAAAGCTTTTCTTGTAGAAGCTCAGGGTAGACACAACAGTGAAGCAGCTATTTATTAACATTTTTGCAAAAACTGGGTGTCCTAGCAAGTAGGCACACACAGCAAAAGCAGAATTTTGATTTGTATTTCCTATCC